TTTTTTTTTTAGGTATTTGGGCATTATATCTTTTGAATATTAATTTTGGCTCCCCTAAAGTTTTTAAAAATATGTGTTGTAATCAAAAATTTTTTTGTTTCTTCTCCAAAATTTTATATAAAATATATATATATATATATATATATATATATATATATATAAAATAAAATAAAAGGGTTAAAACTTGTATTATTTTAATAAAATTTATGAATATTTACTTATTTTTGAATTTTTTATCAGCGACTCTAAAAAATAATATGCGACGATTCCATGAATCCCCAACATATTAAGTACGATACATTATTAGAATAATTTGGATTAATTTAGATTTTTTATCACGCTTAAAATATGATAAAATTATAGTATATATATCATTTTAATTAAAAGAAAAATCAATATAAACATATTTTTGCAATGTTTTGTGAACCTAAATTTTTTTTCGGGGCGGTGCCCCGAACCCTGAAATTTTAGTTAGCCCCCCCTACGTTTTGATTCTGGTTCCGCCACAGCCCATTAGGGTAGCAGACTCGGACCTGGTGCTCACAAGGAACCAACCCTCATTAGAGTTGAAATTCCCACACTGCGGCTGTCAGGATTCGATCCTAGGTACTTGCTCCAACTTACCACGCCGGAACCTGTTGAGCTATACCCATGCGGACAATATCTTACTAACTAATATAACGAGGGGTTGGTCCAAGTTTTTTTTTTTTTTTTTTTGTTTGTTTTTTTTTTTTTTTTTTAATTTACCATTTTCAAACCCTAATTAGAGTTTATTGGATCCTATTTATTTTTGGTATTATTTATTTATTTATTTATTTATTATTATTATTATTATTATTATTATTATTATTATTATTATTATTATTATTATTATTATTATTATTATTATTATTATTATTATTATTATTATTATTATTATTATTATTATTATTATTATTATTATTATTATTAACTAGTTGTTGAATTGTTTGAATCTATACTTATAAATCCGTTGAATTTTAACAAAAACAAATGAAAACTAATGGCTGGATTTTATTAGATAATATTTTATCTTTTACTAAATCATAGTGACTGGTTAATGATTTTTTTCCACATTCAAAGTACTATTGCGTGAATTTGGACTCAACTTTTTATACTTTTAATTATCAAAATTGATTGTGTCAGATTTTTGAATATCTTACCCAAATCTAATTTATCTTACACTGGAACTCTGTGTTAGCAAAATAAGAAAAAAGTAAAATCCTTACCGTAATATACAATATTAGATTTTATCTGTTTATTTTCCCAACCACCCGACCTACCTAGATTGTATGCAAATGAAAAATCAAAATCCAATCTTTATTATAAATAATAATAATAATATTAATATTAATAACAAAAAGAAAATAAAAATAATAAAAACACTATAAATGGGGAAGGTGAATGAATTTACTAACTACTAATTATTTGGTCAAAGGGGTGGTGGGGAAAGTGTGGATGTGAAGATACTTTACGCGGACAGGTGTATACAATATATTTATATATTATATTATAAAAACAAATACACAAATAAGTATTTGTAAATGCATAAATAATAAATAATAAATAATAGGGCAAATTACGGTCACCCCTAAATTATGGTCAAATTATGAAAATTCCCCTTTTGTTTCGGTCTCAACTATGTATTATCTTATGAAAAAACCCCTCCAGAGGTAAATTTAGGGATGTTAATTCAGGAAAAACTGAATCGAAATTTCGGTACTCTAACATTGCACACCGTTTACCGAATTAAATATATGATTTGGTTCGATAAATATTTTTACATAAATTTAATGTAAAAATATTTAAAAAGAGGGGTGACTGTAATAACCAAACAAGAGGGTTTTTTTCCTCGTAATTTAGTCATACCCCAGGGGTCGCCGTAATTTGCCCTAAATAATAAAGGGTAAATTACAACCACCCCTGAGATATGGTCAAATTACGAAAAACCCCCTCTTGTTTGAATAATTATATGTACACCTCAACTATGAATTTTCTTACACTTCCACCCTTATGGTGTCAAATTCAACATAATCATCTAGATTCCGTGGAATGTGCTCTAGTTTGTACTCGTTTTATGTAAAAATACAGTTTCTGATGCACCATAATCTGATACATACAAGCCAAAAAAACATATCTTATGATCATCTTGCTTCAAAATGTGGAACTCGAATAGGATAAAACTGGTACAAAGATGATAATATTCCATATAATTTAGAATATTTCATTAAATTTGAAAGCGCAAGGCTGAACGTTTAAAAATATTTATATTTGAGGGGTGATTGTAATTACCCAAACAAGAGGGGAATATTCGTAATTTGACCATACCTCAGGATTGGTGGATGTAATTGACCCAATAATAAATAAAAATAAATACACACACGCATTCATGTGCGTGTGAGAGAGAGAGAGAGAGAGAGAGAGAGAGAGAGAGAGAGTGGGAGAGGTTTTGGTTAAAACTGTGTCTGAAAGCAAAAGCGGAAGACAAAGCCAAGCCGGCTAAAAACTCTTTACACAAACCCACTACCTATCAAATAGATTCTTCAATCTTCACTGCACCTTCTCCCAAATTTTTTTATTTTTCTTTCTTATTACACTCTTTCTTGATTTCGATTCATAATCAAGATTGGATTTTTATCGAATTCGAAGCAAGCCCATCATCATATTTTGTGAGTATTGGATTGAGAAACGAAGATGAGAGAGGCTAACTGATTTATTTCGGTGCAAATCTGATTTTATTTTTTTAATTTATTTATTTGATTTCAAGAAAAAAGATTCGATTTTTAGAGTGAGGTAAATGGGGTGTTTTTCTTGCTTTGATTCACGGGAAGAGGAGAAACTGAATCCTCGTAAAGAGAGAGATGATCATAAGGAAATCCATCCGAGTATTCCTTCCAATATATCCAAATTATCATCTGGTTAGTTTATTTATTTTATTATTATTATTGCCAATTTATTTTCTAATTATTTTTATTTTCCAGTGGTTTGATCTGATCTCAGTTCTTTCTGTTTAGTGTGTGGGGTTTTTGATTGGGTTTTCATTTTTCAATCCGATTTATCTATGATTTCATCATTTTTCGACTATTCGACTATGGAATTTGAATTTGATCTCATGGGGGTACGCCTTTTTCGATGCGATTATTGTTTCGATAACTAATTCCACTGGTAGTTGAGTGTTGTTATATATGGATTAAGATTCAATTTTCGGTTTTCGGGTTTTTATTAGCAAATGTAGTTAATTTCTAGCGTAAAATTGAAATATTTTTTATGTGTTGTAATTGGATCTTGATTTTTCGATTTTCGATTTTCGATTTTCGATTTTTCAGGGGGCGACAGGCTAAAATCGAGGAACAATGTGGGGCCGAAAAAGGAAATATCGTTACCAAAGGACTTGCCCGATTCTCAGATTGCTGCTCAAACGTTTACTTTCCGTGAGTTAGCCAATGCTACGAATAATTTTAGGCCAGATTGTTTTTTAGGAGAGGGTGGTTTCGGACGTGTCTACAAAGGACGACTTTCCACTGGCCAGGTAAACAAAATATATTCGTTTAGATATTTTTGTCGGTTCAAATTAGGCGTTTTTTCAGAGCATAGATGTTCACAAAGTAATACGTAAGAAAATAAGAAAGAAGATGTTAGCTTAGGCTGCATTTGGATTACGGGATTTGAAATCCACCACAAATGCTCTAAAAGCAACTAAAAACGAGAGCCGTGAATTTGAAATTCATCGTCAAATGACTCGATCCGACAACCTCAATGGATTTATTATTATGGATTTGAAATCCATCCAACCAAACGAGGCCTTAGAATACTTGATCGATAAATATTTTTACGTGATTCGACAGGCTGTCGCTGTTAAGCAATTGGATAGAAACGGGCTGCAGGGCAATAGAGAATTCCTAGTCGAGGTTCTAATGCTTAGCCTATTGCACCATCCTAACTTGGTGAGTTTGATGGGTTACTGCGCCGACGGGGATCAAAGGCTTCTCGTCTACGAGTTCATGCCGTTGGGTTCTTTAGAAGATCATCTCCATGGTATTAACTATTTTATTTATTTCTTCCGTGATTTTATTTTTATTTAATAGTTAAGGGTAAATTACAACCACCCCTGAGGTATGGTCAAACTACGAAAAACCCCCTCTTGTTTGGGTAATTACAACCACCTCCTCAACTATAAATCTTCTTACACGCCCACCCTTGCGGTTTCCAATTTAGTGGAATCTTCTAGATTATATATAATATTATCACTTTTGTACCTGTTTTATCCCATTTGAGCTCTACATTTTGAAGCAAGATGATCATAAGATGTGTTTTTTGGTTTGTATATATCAAATTTTTGGTGCATCAGAAACTGTATATTTACACAAACAAAACGAGTACAAACTAGAGCACATTTTACGAAATCTAGATGATTATGTTGAATTTCACACCATAAGGGTGGATGTGTAAGAAGATTCATAGTTGAGGGGTGGATGTAATTATCCAAACAAGAGGGGTTTTTTTTTAATTTGACCATACCTCAGGGGTGGTTGTAATTTACCCAATAGTTAAAAAACAACTTCATGTTGGAGATAGTATTGAATATTCCTTTTTTTTTTTTTTTTTTATGATACTCAGATCTTCCACCGGACAAAGAAGCGCTCGATTGGAGCACAAGAATGAAGATAGCTGCAGGTGCAGCGAGAGGGTTGGAGTACCTGCACGACAAGGCGAACCCGCCCGTTATTTATCGGGATTTCAAGTCATCCAACATATTGCTAGGCGAAGAGTTTGCTCCAAAGCTTTCCGATTTCGGACTCGCGAAGCTGGGCCCCACGGGCGACAAGTCGCATGTATCCACTAGGGTTATGGGCACTTACGGCTACTGCGCTCCTGAATATGCGATGACTGGGCAGTTGACCGTCAAGTCCGATGTCTACAGTTTCGGTGTCGTCTTCTTGGAGCTTATTACGGGGCGTAAAGCTATTGACAGCACTCGACCTCAAGGCGAACAAAACCTCGTGGCATGGGTAAAAATCTTGACTTTTTTAACTTTTGATGCTTCATTTGGAAAAAAAATTAGTATTTTCAGTTACGTTTCGTTTGGAATTTTAAATAATCTAATGAAAATCTAAGGCCTCGTTTGGTTTGAGAGATTAGCCATGGTTACCTAATAATTGGGCTTTGTTTGATGTTTGGTAAACCCAATAATTTTTCCCTGAAATATTAGTTTATCGTGGCTTATCATTTGGAATTTTAAGGCCTTGTTTGGTTGCTAGGATATGATTAGCCAAGATAAGATTAAATAAATTAATGAAAACCCGATTGTTTTATTGGAAGCCAAGATAAAATAATATTTTCGGGTCGATCCGGAAAATTATTCGTTTTACCAAACATCAAACATAGTCCAATTATTTAGTTAATGATGGCTAATCTCCCCAACCAAAATGTGGCATTAAAGAATTCCGAACCATGATGACAAATTCGTCGAGTTTGTATGGATGAATTAAATTTACAGTGATCTTCATTTGAAGTCATTTCATCATTTACCGAAATCCAAATTCTTTCATCCAAACGCGACCCTAGAGGAGTCCATTTGGATTTGTATTTAGGGGAAAATTTTCAAAATGACTCTAGATAGGATTTTGAAAAATTTCCGTCCAAATGCAACTTTTTTAAGAATTCGATTCGATACTCACGTGATGATTCATGCATGCATGCATGCAGGCAAGGCCGTTGTTCAACGACCGTAGAAAATTCGCCAAGCTGGCGGACCCGATACTGCAGGGCAAATTTCCGATGCGCGGACTGTACCAAGCATTGGCTGTAGCTTCCATGTGCATCCAAGAACAAGCTGCTGCTCGCCCTTTGATTGGTGATGTTGTAACTGCACTTTCTTACCTGGCAAATCAGTCGTACGATCCGACCAATGGCGGCAGGGGAGAGGAAAGAGGCGGGAAAATATTGAGGAACGAAGAGGGCGGTGGGTCCGGTCGGAAATGGGAGTTTGAAGGATCGGAAAAAGACGATTCTCCGAAAGAAACTGCAAAAATGTTGAACCGTGACTTGGAGAGAGAGAGGGCGGTCGCTGAAGCTAAAATGTGGGGTGAAAATTGGCGGGAAAAAAGACGGCAGAACGCTCAAGGAAGTTTTGACGCCAATAACGGCTAGTTCTGATTTGTTCGGTAGGACAAATTATGGAACGACGTTTTTTTTATTTTATTTATTTAACTTTATTTTGTACTTTTTCCTCCTTATTTTTACACCCATTGATCTTTAGCATTGAGAGTGTATATTAACTGGTATAAGAACGAGGACGACGCTTTGATCTCCCTCTTCGCTTTTTTTTTTTTTTTTTTTTTTTGAGATTAAGAAACCGTTTAGAGTGATGCTTTGGCGCGCAGGGTGTTTGTAAAGTTATGCGAAACCCGGAATAAGTATCTTATTCTGTGGTGTTCAATACATTAGTATGTGTTATGAAATTCCTCGACCACTCTTTTGCTGCCGATTTATAGAATTCTGTGGTATGATCATCTACGGACTTATTCCCTTGCGCGTTAGACCTACACAATTCTGTTCGACAAAATCGCAGGAACAAACGCGTCCAAGTACTGAATACTTGGGAAAAAAGAGAGAGACACTTCATTTTTTTTTATTCAACCCAATCTACCCTTGGAGTAATGCAATTTCATTCTTTATAACAAGATGAAGAAGGTAAAGAAAAAAAAAAAAGAACAACGAAGATACTAAGCTATGTAGAATAGGCACGGAAACGGTGGGACGGGGAAACGGCATATTCCAAAAATGGGGATACGAGATCTTGGAGGAAACGTGTAAATATTAAAATTATAGGGGTATATTTATAAATATGTTATATAAACATACATAAGTTTTTATTTATGTAATTAATGTGCACATCTTTAATTATATAAACAAAATAAAAAAAAAAAAAATTTCCGCTGCGTACATGTGTCCAATCCCCAACAGTGGTATCAGAGTGATAGTTGCACAATTAATTGCCTACGTGTTGACTGCTTACGATTGCATGTGAATCGTTTATTGAATTGATTGAATTGGTGAAATTGGAATTGGGTTGGTTTAATTTTCAGTTAATTATAAAATTGGATTTGATCAATTTTAAAATTGGAATTAGAAAAATTGAATTTTAGTTTGAAAATTGGATTTGACCGATTTTAAAATTGGAATTGGAATTGGATTTAAAATTAAAATTTGATTTGAATTTGAAATTCCAAAATTAGTTTTTGACAACTGCCCGGACCGGACAACTCGGTCAGACCGGTCCAACCGGTTCAGACAGTCGGAATTAAAAAAAAAAAGAAAAAAAGAAAAAAAAGAGGGTAATTGTTTCTTTTTCCATAAATTAAAATTAAATCAAAATTAATTTTTAATTTTTTGAAATTATTTATCAATTAAAGCTCAATCCAAATATTTGATCCATTAATCAATAATGCTCAATAAATTAGTGTTTGATTAATTAATTAATTTAAACGTTAAATTAATTTCATTAATAAAAAACATGTATAATGGTGATTATATTTCAACTTAATGAATTGTACCTTAATCAAGCATTTTCAAAACTAGGTGTGGAAATCAGAATTTTCAAGCATCTTTAGATATGATTTACACCTATGATTTCTCTCCTTATGAGAGGCTTTTTCTCTCTCCATGAGAGGCCCCCAAGAACCTTGTAATCTTCAGAGATCTGCCGTTTTGATTTGCGCTACAGAGATCTGCCATCTTTGTTTGATCGCATGATTTACTGGCTTTAATTTTATATGCTATATTTTTTTGATTGTTTAAAATTAGGGTTTTCCGGTTATTGTTTGTTTGCGGCTCGCCTTTATTCCTTTTTGTATTCTAGCTAACCCTATTTCCCGCTCAACACCATACTCTCTTTTTCAGATTGCAGCCACAAGTCTCGTCTGGCAGACCTGTCACGCTGTGCCCTTCACCGCATCTCCCACTCTCTCCTCGCTATGGAAAACTTGACTGATGCAATGGCTAGGAAAATAAATCTCACTATGGAGGAGGAAGAAGGGGTTACTGCAGATCCAATCGGGTTGGGTATTAGGGTTGCAGAGACACAATATAAACTTCTGGGGAGGGTAGTTTCGGATCGGGAAATTTCCTTTCACTCCATCAAGTTGAACACTCTGAGGCTCCTCGCACCAGTTAAAGGGTGTGAAATTCAGCCCCTTGGACCCAACAAATTCATGATCCGTTTTGATCACGCTCTCGATAAACAACATGCTCTAGAGGGTTGCCCGTGGATTCTAGAGAGACATGCTCTCATTTTTCGAGAACTCAAATCGGATGACATTAGCACAATGATGGAGGTGAACTTCATGAATATTGTAGTCCGCTTGTATCAGATCCCGTTGAACCACAGAACGGTGGAAACGGTGAAACTTGTGGCAGGGAAAATTGGAAACGTGACTCAGGTGATGAATGAGAAACAAATTGAGGTGTCAGAATACATTCGTGTTCGCGTCTCGCTTGATGTTACCCAACGACTGAAACGGGGAACCTACCTCCACATTACGGGAGCGGGTAAGTTTTGGATCGATTTCAAATACGAACGTTTGCCCAATTTTTTCTTCATTTGCGGGTTACTGGGGCATAGTGAGGTAAGATGCCCGGACCGTTATGAGGATGATTTTGTTGATCCTGGGGAGAGCATGCCTTACGGGATATGGATGAAAGCACCTAACTTAAGAGAGAGAGAACCCCACAGGCTTCCATTGCAACCGGTCTCGTCGTCCACGCTCAACCACAACAACCAACAGCCTGCTGTGGGGAGAGGCCTGGGGATTTTTGAATTTACCTCAAAATCGACAGGGAATGGGAACCAAGGCAGGGATATTAGTCCGGCAGTCAGAAATGAGACAACTGATTGGGAACTCGATCTGGTTAATAACCCCATCCGCATATACACGGGCTCTACTCCAGATCAGCTATCAAGGAAGAAAATAATTGTTACGGACAAGAGAAAGAAGAAAGATGATGAGACCCTCGGATCAGGCCAGGCACGCACCGGAAAGAGGCAACACCTAGCACTTCGAGATGAGGACTCGTGTTCAACGGCGAGGACTGCAGAGCAGTCCCGCCGATCATCATGAATTGTTTCTTCTGGAATTGTCGAGGGCTCGGGGTCCCCTTGACAATTCACTCAATCGGAGACATTCTCCGATCTCTTCACCCCAAGTTGGTGTTTCTCTCGGAGACGAAGGCAACATCAACACTGGTTAATAAATTGATGTTGAAATGGAATTTGTTCGGAATATCGGTTGACAGAGTTGGATTATCGGGTGGTTTGGCATTACTTTGGCAAAAGGATATTCAGGTCAAGCTTCTCAGCTATTCGGTGAACCATATTGATGCCGAAATTCAGGATAGTTTGGATTCGGCTAAATGGAGATTTACTGGGATTTACGGCTGTCCGGAAGTTAGCAGGCGGATCAATACTTGGAACTTGTTACGCCATCTCAGTACCCAATACTCGATGCCATGGGTAGTCGGTGGGGATTTCAACGAAATCCTTGATAATTCTGAGAAGAACGGAGGAGGAACCCGCAGCCCGTACCAGATGGCAGCCTTCAGGGAGGCGCTTGATGATTGTTATTTATCGGATTTGGGCTTCAAGGGCCCGCAATTTACATGGACTAACAATAGAGAAGCACCGAATACCGTCTTTAGCCGTATCGATAGGATATGTGGGAATGGTGGTTTGCTAGCTGAGTTTCCCTTAGTGGAAGTTCATCATATGGAGGTTGCAGGCTCTGACCACCTTCCCCTTATGCTAAATATGAATAGGTCGGGGGTCCAATCGAGAAGAAGGGATAAAAAACCATTCCGTTTTGAGGCGATGTGGGTAAGACGAGACGATTGTGAGGATATAATTAAGCAACAGTGGAAGGGGCAATCGAATTCTGATCCGACCGATACCATTTTGAAAAACTCAGAGGGCTGCCGTTTGGCCCTCCAACAATGGAGTAGGTCGGTTTTCAGTCGCCCTAAGAAGCATATTGAAGAATTGCACAAGAAGCTCAGTAAGCTGAAAATGGGCACACAAACGGCATCTACCAAAGCTAGACAAAAAGAGCTGCATGTGGAGTTGGAGCGGAGCTATGGTGATCTTGACACCTATTGGCGGCAGAGGAGCCGAATTCAATGGTTACAGGATGGGGATCGAAACACTAGTTTCTTCCATGCCAAAGCTACTAGCCGAAAACAGAAAAATTGGGTGCACAAGTTAAGGGATTCAGATGGTAATTGGAGGGATGACAAAGGCGATATTGAGAATGTTATATCCAGTTATTTCAAGGCCTTGTTCCAGTCAACAAAACCCGATGAGAGAGTGGTGGATGAAGTTTTAGGGCACATCGAGCACAGGATTACCGACGCGGCTTCTCATCTGCTTTCTCTTCCATTCACTGCTGATGAGGTAACCCGAGCTATTTCCCAAATGTCCCCCACTAAATCCCCTGGCCCAGACGGTCTTCCTGTTTTATTCTATACCAAATACTGGCATATTCTTGGCGCTAGTGTTATTGACTGTGTGCTTGAATTTTTAAATAAGCGCAATTTACCCTCCCCAATGAATTTTACGTTTATTGTTTTATTCCCGAAAGTTGCTAAACCGGAAAGAATGACTGAGTATCGCCCTATTAGTCTTTGCAATGTTATTTATAAATTTGGCTCTAAAGTCATTGCAAATCGAGTTAAAATGGTGTTGAGCAATATTATATCTCCTACCCAATCTGCTTTTGTGCCGCATCGTTTAATAACTGATAATGTTTTGGTTGCTTACGAGATTAACCATTTCATTAAAACTAACTCTAGAAAACGATCGAAATTTATGGCTATGAAATTAGATATTAGTAAAGCTTACGATCGAATTGAGTGGTTTTTCTTGGAAAAGATTTTGGGCAAAATTGGTTTCCCTGGTTGTTTGGTCGAATTGATTATGTTGTGTGTTTCATCGGTATCTTATTCCTTTCTGTTTAATGGATCTCAGTGTGGCTCGATAACCCCATCTCGTGGTCTTCGGCAAGGCGATCCCCTCTCCCCATATTTGTTCATCTTATGTACAGAGGCTCTCATTGCTATGATTAGAAGGGCGACGGAGGATGGAAGCTTACAGGGATTTCGAGTGGCCCCCACTGCCCCGGTGGTTTCGAGCCTTTGCTTCGCCGACGATACTTTGATATTTTGTAGGGCATCGGAAGCAAATGCACGTGTTATACAACGTATCCTCACGCTATATGCTCAAGCCTCGGGTCAGATTATTAATGCGGATAAATCTACTGTCTCGTGCTGCCCTTCTACGACCTTGGCTGAGAAGGAGTCGATTCATGCTATCTTGGGCTTCCAGATTGTGGACCAACACGAGAGATATCTTGGGCTTCCGATGTCGATGGGCAAATCACGCAAGGAAATCTTTGGGTATCTTCGAGATCGGGTTTGGGCACGGATAAGGGGGTGGAGGACGAAACAATTGTCCAAAGCCGGG